TCAACAAGCACGGCGACGAGATCATCACCAGCACGACCAGCAACTACGAGTCGCAGACGTTCAACTCCAAGACGGAGTGGCGGGTGCGCGCCATCTCGGCCACGAACCTGCACCTGCGCACCAACCACATCTACGTCAGCTCGGACGACATCAAGGAGGCCGGCTACACCTACATCCTGCCGAAGAACATCCTGAAGAAGTTCATCGTCATCTCGGACCTGCGCGCCCAGATCTCCGGCTACCTGTACGGCGTGTCGCCCAGCGACAATCCCCAGGTAGGGATGGCGACATCGGGCAGTTCGCGAGGCAGTGGCAGGCAGGCAGGCAGACTACGTCGACCAGTGACATTCCCCAAGCACGGATCACCATGTTCAATGACGGCTGCTAGGTAGGAACGTCGCTGTTAATGATAATCGCTGGGTAGGAATGACTGCCCAGCGACACTCCCCAGAAACGTATGGCTTTGCCCAGTAGCACTCACCCAGGCTGGGGGGGGGGGGGGGGGGGAGGGGGGGGGGGAGGGAAGGAGCGTGTCGCCCAGCGGCTTTCCCCAGTATGAATCAAAGCATTGGCCTAGTAGCAATGGCTGTGCTCAGTGATAAGCCCCAGGAAGGAATGTTGTTCCACGACCACGACACCCAGCGGGAGGGGTATCTTTCTGCAAGGTGGCGGCGTCATGGCAGCGACGGTCCTGGTTTAGGAATATCTGTTCAGGGTCAGTCTCCAGGTAGGAATACTGCTTTTCAGGGATCACTCCAGCCCAGCGGCAATATCTAGGCAGGAATGATTCTTTTTGGCGATCATTCCGTGTTGCCCCCCCCCCCCCCCCCCATAGGATTGATTCTGCCCATTCTTGCCTGCACCAATGTCGGAATGGATGTGATGGTGAACGTTCGCAGCGAGTCGGTGAAATGGCAGGCGCGCCTTGGATTTTTGGCCTGATTTAAACCCCTGTTGCTCTGGAAAGTGTGCTTGGCGACATCACACCGCTCTGTACCGCCTGCGCTGCTGTCCGGTACGTGACGTCTGTACCGCCTGCGCTGGTGTCGGGTGCATCACGTCGGTCTGTATCGCCTGCGCTCGTATCCGGTACGTGACGTCTGTCTGTACCCCCTGCGCTCGTGTCCGGTACGTGATGTCACCATTGTCCCTCCCCCCCCCCTCCCCACGTCCAGCGTGGCGTGCTGGAGTGAGCATCACCTGTCACTGATTATCACGATGCGACATGTGACAGCTTCGTGATTCCTGTCTGCGACGCGCCACAGGTGAAGGAGATCCGGTGCATCGTGATGCCGCCGCAGTGGGGCACGCACCAGACGGTGCACCTGCCGACGGCGCTGCCGCAGCACGAGTACCTGCGCGACATGGAGCCGCTGGGCTGGATGCACACCCAGCCCAACGAGCTGCCGCAGCTGAGCCCGCAGGACATCACCACACACGCCAAGGTAGGGCGGGTGGGAGACATCACCACGCACGCCAAGGTAGGGCGGGTGGGACACATCACCACACACGCCAAGGTAGGCCAGCTGGGAGACATCACCACACATGCCAAGGTAGGGCGGGTGGGAGACATCACCACACACGCCAAGGTAGGCCCGCTGGGAGACATCACCACACACGCCAAGGTTGGTCGGCTGGGAGACATCACCGCACGCGCTAACCCAGAGCTATAAAGACTTACTGTTAGTGGCTATTAGTTTGTAGTTTCAAATCTGACCTGACTGACATACTTCTGGCATTTCGGTGGGGACGTATGACAGAGGTATGTGTTGGGGCGGTTTGCGGGGTACTCTGCTTGGCGCACCACACGTAGGTGCCGGATGGGTACCTTTCAGATGCACTACCGAACATCGGTCCGGTTTGGCCGGCGGCGGTTCTGGCGGCAGCACCTCCGCGAGCTGAGTCTTACGAACAGCCGTGAGCCGTGCGAACTCTGTTTGTGCGTGCGTTCGTCCGCAACCGGTGTGCGTGTGCGGCCGCTGAGCTGTGCCGGCCGTGCGGCAGATCATGTCGGAGCACTCGAGCTGGGACGGCGAGAAGACGGTGGTGATCACGTGCAGCTTCACGCCCGGCTCCTGCTCGCTGACGGCCTTCAAGCTGACGCCGAGCGGCTTCGAGTGGGGTCGCCAGAACACGGACCGCGGCAACAACCCCAAGGGCTACCTGCCCTCCCACTACGAGCGCGTCCAGATGCTGCTCTCCGACCGCTTCCTCGGCTTCTTCATGGTGCCGTCGCAGGGGAGCTGGAACTACAACTTCATGGGTGAGTGGGGCGGCGGCGGGACTGGCCCGGCTGACTCACGTCTGCCGCGGGCCCAAGTCCGCAGCTCGCCGGCTCTTCACAGTGTGCGGATCTGTTCGTTCATGGCTCTGGTCGTCACTTTGGTGAAGTGAATGCGGACAGGTTGGGAGTTTGATGCACTGCTTCGCTGTGTTGTTGGGCAGGGAGTAGTGGCTGTTATAGGGGATTAGCGACCGCTGGCCGGGATGGAGCCACTGCCCCGGAGTGGCGTCATGGCAGCTGCTGGTCGTGCACCGGCCCGTCCTGCGCGCCCCAGCGTGCCATGTGTGTCGGTCTGGCGTGTGTAGCCTGCGGCGCTCTGATCCCGACGGCGATGCTTCGCAGGCGTGCGGCACGACCCCAGCATGAAGTACGAGCTGACGCTGGCCAACCCCAAGGAGTTCTACCACGAGGTGCACCGGCCGTCGCACTTCCTCAACTTCGCCTCGCTGGAGGAGGGCGAGACGGCCGGCGCCGACCGCGAGGACGTGTTCGCCTGAGCGCGAGGGCGCGGGTCCCGCCACGCCGTGCTTGGCGCCGAGCGGGCGCGTGCTGGAGATGGCGCCGACCGTGTGACGCACGCTGCCGACCGGCCCAGACTGGTGCCGCGGCCGCCGCAGCAGCCGGTCGGGGACCATGCTCATTGTGTGATGTGTGTGCGGCCGCAGGCGCCGGCGAGAAGCGGCCTCATAGCCAGCGGCCGCGGACTGCGCGACCCGGCGCCGGCCGAGACGGCCCGGCCGCCAATCACCCCGTTCATCGTGCTCTCCGGCCTCTTGTCGCCGGCTGTGTCATGGATCGCTTGTCACCGTGGAGCGATGAGACCTTCAATAAACGCCTCCCTACGGACCAGCCGCGTGTACAGTGCGCATCGTCGGCCGGTGGAAGCCGGGCAGTTTGGAGACGTCTGGGCTGTGGGCGGCCTGGTTCATGCGGCGCCAGCACGCCGTACCGGACCTGCACTGGGAAGGCCGGGCTCCATAAGGACTTCGCTCGCTGATCTTATCGGTGAAGGTCTTTCCGTAGCCAGCTGTCGATTGGGGAGGGGAAGTGCGTTCGCTGTGAACCTGGCGTCTGTTTTCTATATTTCCTGTTGTTACTGTCAACTGACAGCAGGGAAGCCTTCCGCTTTGCGTAATTGTCCGTGAATTTAACAGTGAAAGGTACCTAATCGGGCGTGAATTCAGCCGGCCAAAGTGCCAATACGGTAGCTCGGCACTTCCAGCCGGCGGGCGGCGCCGCACTCAGCGGGCCTTGATCTGCGTCATACGTCAGGCTGCGGGGGTGCGCGAATGTTGTTCGCCCTGGACAGGTCAGGTGCCCCTGACGCCTGACCTGTCCTACATTCGCAGGATAGAGGGAGGCTCTAGCCCGGAGCGGGCAGAAACGTCCGTGAGGCTGCAGGACGGCAGGTGGCCAGCGCTCCGGTCCCGAGCGTTTCGCTCCGCTTCAGCTCCGTCTTGACCCTGGACCAAATGCTGGGGGGAGGGGTGCTCCAGTCCCGGGTATCTCACCCCGCGTCAATCTGGTCCTGAGTGGTCTGATCTGGACCAACTGCCGGGAGCTGCCGGGCTGGGACGGCTGGGGCTACGCGCCGGAGTCGGCGCCGACAGGCCACTTGTAAGTTACTTGGCAAGTTACACCCAGCAAACGTTCTTCCCTAGGGAACGAGAGCTTTTGCAACCGCCTTTAGTTTCGGTGTTCTCCATGGTGTTATATCCTGGGTACGTCTGTTCCTAGTTATTGGTTATATGGTGAAGTGCCCGCCCGCCCAGCTCAGTTTTCTGCAGCACCTGATGCAGCCTTGCGCGAAAACTTCGGCGCTGTGGGAGGGGCACATTGCTGACGTAGGCGGCTTCGCAGCGTGCATAGCTCTGAACAAACTTCAAGTGCGCTATCAGTGATACATTTTAACAAAAGCCATCTTCATATGCCTTGGTCACGTCACGAAACATGACCAGAACACGTATGTGTTCTGTAATGATAGTTTTTCACTTGAGTCACTAGATAATTTTGCGTTCCTTTGTACTCCTAGTCCTAAAACGTCTGCTCATTTTATAGTTTTTTTTTCCTTTCCCGTGATTATCATTTCAACTGAAACCAGGGCAACGCGTTGTAGATAAGGCACGTGTTGCAGACAACCGTTTGACTTTCCCACTCGACATTTTTCTTTGCTGTGACTCAACATGTGACTCAGATCTTATGTCGAAATGTTTAATATGCGCCGTAGAGAAGAATACACTTTCATTGCATTGGTGCTTTGTGAAAGTTACGTTTTAAATAAGACAGAGATGGTATCTGAACCACAGTGACCGCATCCTCGTGCAATGTAAACTGTTGCCCACAAATCCAGATCTGTGTTGACTTACATGCTCTCAAGGTATGTATACCACATGAGTCACCGTTTTCCCATTTTGAACCAAATGCGTGTTTGAATAACACCGTGCAAGATTTCATGAGCAGTTTCATCCGTATCCAGCCCTTAATTTCGTCCCGCATGCGGTCTTTTGAAAGCTAACCTGCCGATGCCAGTTAGCACCAAGCTCACTCTGCGGCTGGGCCGTTTCTAGGCTCCGGTTTACGGCAGAGCCATCGGCCTTCGCTGCGTGGTGAGCTACGCCGGCAAGCGCAGCCGGTCGGGGCCTCCATGCCGCCCCCGTACCGGGCGCCCGTCACCGAGCCGTGCGTCCACTGCGGCCGGCCGTTCGCGGCCGGCCGGCGGCAGGAGCACGAGGCCATCTGCGGCCGGCTGGCGCAGCGACGGCGGACCACCTTCGACTCGCGCCAGCACCGTCTGGCCGGCACTGAGCACGGTCCGCTGTTCCGCCGGGCGCAGCACCGGCCCGAGCCGGTAAACGAGGCGCGCCCCGCCGGGCCGCCACGCCGGCTCTCACAGCCGGCACACAGGCGTTGCGCTCTTGCCGTCCGTCTCTCGCCTTGCACCCCTGTAGGCCAAGGGTCGAAACGGGTGAATTTTACAGCGCATGGCCGGTGGTAGTCTCGTCATTTGACTGTAACTTGAAACCTCGCGAGCCTTGTTTCCTAAATCAAGCATTGCATTCATGTCCCTGTCGTATAACTTAGGGGACGTGCGGGTATTGCCACAGCAGCGCGTGTTTTCCGGTGTTTTTTTTACTTTTGATTTTTTGACTTCAGACTTCATACGTCCGAGCGTTCTGTTGCGACCCGCATTGCCGCGCCGATCCGACCTACCCTGTGTTTGCCGGCAGCCGGCGCGGGAGAACAGGTGGCGCCAGAGGCACGAGGAGTTCATTGGCGCCATCCGCGCCGCCAAGCAGGTGCAGCGCCACCTGGCGGCCGGAGGTCGCCTGCAGGACCTGCCGCCGCCGCCGCCCTCCGACTACTCTGACTACGTTCAGTGTCCGTACTGCTCACGCAAGTTCAATGAGGCCGCCGCCGAGCGGCACATACCGCGCTGTCAGTTCTACGAGCACAACAAGCCGGGCCCGTCGGGCGCAGGCCGCGGTCGCCAGTCTGGCCCGAGTCGGTCGCCCCAGCCCAGCGGTCGCCACCCCGGCCCGAGCCGGTCGCCACAGCCCAGCGCTCGCCAAGGTCCGGCCAGACCACCGCATGCTGGCAACCAGCCAACTCCGGCCCGGTCACCCCGGCCCAACAACCGTCCCGGCCCAACTAAAGCGACCGTCAGACGCGCACCGAGAGGAAAGTAACTGTCGACGATAGACCCCAGATACACAGACTGCTGGTAACTGTGTCGTCCAAAATATACCTGTAGCAATGCCTTTGTGTGAATAGGGTATATGAAAGATCCAAGTGTTCGCTGGTATATTCAGTGTGTAAAGTACCTCGATTGCAAATATTATAAACTGATCCCACGTCAATTGTGCATTTTATCAGGCGGTGCGCGCCGGCCACACGCCCTCAACATCAGTGTAGTTAAAAAGGTTAGGCTATGCTCTAAATGAGTAAAGTTAATCCCAGCATGTGTGATGGCAATGACAATCGCTGGTTGATGGGTGAATATTGGTGTGAGCATGCATGGGGATATTTCTCACCACGGGCAGCTACCTTCCTCCCCCGCCCCTCCTGTAGCACCGCCTCCATTCTGCTTAGAGCAAAACGGCCCGTTTTGTTTTCAGTGGTCTGCAAGGAGGCCCCCTGCTGAAAAGCGAAAGAACTCCCAACCTGCAAATAAATGAAACAATCAGGCATCGTGAACTAACGAAGGCAGAGACTTACTTCATCGCAAAACATCGTTTTTTATTTGACTTTGGCCTTTTGCTTTGCATCCCTCTGGCCTTCATTCACTTTTACTTTTTACTGCTTGACTTTTTCACATTTGAGTTCTTGACCTTTGACTTCTTGAATTTTATCATCGTGTCCAGTTGCGAACTTCAGCTTCTAGGGCGAGCGCAATGTCTGGTCCGTCTGACACGAAAAGCCCAGCTGTCAGCTGCCACGAAGGGCCAACCTTAGGTCAACTGAGACCCGGTATGGCAGCGCCGCAGCGTTGTGCGGCACGGAAAACTTTGCAGTGCGGTCTGCCGAAGCGCGAAAGCAGAACTATCCTACGAACTGGTGTGAAGTTATCGCGTCTTTGGCTAGCGCGCCGCACCAGCCGTCACCGTGACAAAGCACGCTGCACCAATTGGCCTCATTGGTGCGTCGTGGTTCAGCACCATGCACTCTTGCTCCGCCTACCACGCGGTACGGGTACGCGGGCCCGGGAGAGTTCGTTTAGCGTTCACCGAAGAGCAGTCCGGGCACAGCGCACCAGGAAGGGAAATATATCGTCATGACACCTGTATATTACGTCGGTCCTATGCTCCAATGCTATTCGAATTTAAGAAATGCGCTCTTGCCATGAACACAAACGCTGGCTTTTAGCATTATGCCTAGGCAAGAGTGCAGTGCCCACTAACATATGAATTACTGGACAAAATGCAGCGTGAAGCTTATTTGAAAGCACTTGAAGGATTTACCCGTTAAAGCCGTGGCGTCCCGCTATCTTTGGCCCATTGCCACGGTATCTACATCAGAGAGGCCAAGGTACGGGCTGCCCCGAACAGCCGAGCTCCGCGGCTTACATTGGGCTCGCACCGGAGTGAATCAAACATTTCCATTGCGGTTTACTGTTCGTGCATGCGCATGAGTGCTCATGAGTATGCGTGTGCATGTTCGTATGTGTGCGACCGGTCCCGGCTTTCCGTACCGACTCGACCGACAGCCAGCACCGCCGGCTAGCGCAAGATCTCCTAATCAGCTGGTCATTAGTGCCGACTGCCGAGCGCAGCTGGGCCCGTCCTATAATGCGTCAACACGGCACCCGTCTCCTGTTCCGACCGTCTGTACACATGCTTCCATTCATGGGTTAGAAAGAAATAACTGATGCTCGGATGATTAGCTGAGGCGAGCTGAGGCCACGCTCACCAGTTGCATCATGACTTTCTGTTTTAAGACGGTAAATGCCTCAGCAAATGCTCGCGCGCGTGATAGTGGGGTGAATGACCATAGTTGCAGAGAAAACCTTCGCACAAAAGCTCCATATGAGTGCAATATGGCGCTTCAAAAACAGTATCTGGCGCAGATTGTGTAAATTATGTAACGTGTGCATGGACTGGTTTACGACAATTATTTATTGGTGGTCCAGGGCACCGCCTCATTGGTGCCGGGTGTGCGTTTTTAAGGGTATGCACATAATCGCACACCGGGCCTCACCTCCACTTTTTGTTTTTGTTCTTGTGATGTGCATAATGTGCTTTGTGTGTTAGCCATTTGCTCATGTCCTGGTTTTTAAACATTGCCTTTGCGCCGCAATACATACTATGTTGGAATTTTGCAGCATATACAAATAAACATATTTTACACATCTATTTGAAAATCCAAAGGCTGCTGTGGGAAATTGTTGATTATGGCATGCTGCATGGGAGGAAAATGTGGCTGTGTAGGTACTACATATGCATTCAGGGTCAATCACTGTTCTGAGCTCACATTTTTACAATATGTTTAGAGTTGTCTGAATTTCATATTTTGCAATTTTTATTCCACTTTGTATTGTGGTGCAAGTCTTTTATGGAAAAGTAGGAGCCAGGGCATGGCTATGGTCCATTCTCAAAGGATGTAAAATGATAACCAAGTAAATCTGCAAGGGATTCATACAGGTCTGTCACTGGGCTGCAAAAATGTGCCACACCTGCATGACATAATTCAGTTAAACCTTGCTTTCATTTGTGTCAAACTGAGGGCAGGCAAAGTTGTGCCCAATTCGTGAATGCTTTCTTCCAAAGTTACCCACTTAACATTATACTTCCTTGAAACATTGTCTCTCTGCAATTAGTGGCAATTTGAACCATTTGTCAGACTTGGAGTGCTTTGTTTTGCTATGTTTTTACCAAGATACTTCTAGGTAGGATTTACAGCATGCATGTCCTAAATGGTTGATGTGGTTGTTGCTACATTGAACATGCCTGGATGCTCAACATACATGCACAGATATTGTTGCTAACCTTGCTGCTCAGCATTTTTTTTTGCCAGTGTGGGTTCTGGGTAGCAGCCACATCCTGCCGATATTTCAGCCCATGTAAGCCATAGATCTGAGCACCTAGAGTTTGGTGCATGGATGCCATCCATTTCAGCACATAGGCTGAAATATCATAGCAGGTGTTTAACTTTTAGCTACAATGTCATGCTGTCATTATGACTTCGCAGTGTCACTTAATAGCATTGTGAGCAAGGACTATGGTATGGAAGGTTCACATGAGGTTAACTTGTCCAGATAAGATTTAACTGTGTGAATCAACAGAGGACTATGATCTGGAAGGTTCACATATGGTTTACTTGTCTTGATCAAATTTAACTTTGTTAATTAACCTTCAGCTTTTTAATTATGAACTGTAACATGGTGTGACTGGAAGCCTGAAGTTAACCACAAGGCCTTGTTTCTTCACCAACAAGAATATTTGGATTTCTCAGTGTTGGCCATAGCTGTTAGTACCTGCCATGTTAGAGAACATCGTAGCATTAGCAGATCCACCTGAAAAAATCTGTGCAGGCCAGATCCAAGCTATTCAAGAGGACTGCTGCTCTGAGGGATGCCATTTTTGCCTATGACAGGCCACCATGGTCTAGATGGGCACTGAAATAGAACAAGCTGTTGCATTTTGCTGCAAATTTCAGCTGTATGGGTAGCTTACTTGTTTTAGGGCATCTGAGCATCATGTGGCACCCTTTGAGCACTCAGGAGCACTTGTTTGCTGCCCTACTTACATGACAGGCATCCTTGTGCATTTAGTGATGGGAAGCCAATTTTTGTCAGGGGTGCTTCTGCCTCCCCCTCCCCCAGATTCATTTATACAATTGTGTGCTATGAACAACTAATACCATGTCATGTGTCTTTTCCCACAGCACATTTCTACCAGTTTAGTTTGCAGCTGCACTGGTGTTTACCATGAGCTGAATGTTACCAGACAAGGGTCTGCAGTGTCTTCACATCTGGGGAGGCAGCTGGTTTTCTTATGCACACACCCTCTCCAAAACAGAAGATGGCAGCCTTCTTGTGGGTATGTGGCATGGTGAACTCAAACAAGCTGCTGTGAATATGTCAACATTGTGTTCTTGCATGGGTGCACTTGGCACAATTTTGCTAAATAATCTTCTATTATGTAGTTATTCTGTGTTGCATTATAAAAAAGCTGAATCTTTCTTTTCTGTGTTGTGTAAGTGACTTGCAAATCATTTATAAGGGGACAATTCATCATTTTGAAACTTGCTGCCAAGTCATGAGATGCTGGCCAAGCTGGGATGTGGTGCTAAGCAGCATGATGACATCTTTACCAGCCTGGATGCTATAGCTAATATAGCTATAAAACCCGCTTTGCTATGCATATTGAGGATTATCTCAGGGAACCTGAGATTGGCCTTTTAAAAATGCCAAGTAAAGACTTGGTTGTACACAAAATCCGTTTTTGGTTTGTTGGCTGATGTACCCAGGTCAGGGATCCATTTTTGGAATCCAACATATCTGCTGTTATGTGCTTGGTCGTGACGTGCGGCACACTCTGCCGTTTTCCCAGACGGCGCCGTGCTGGCTGATGCCGCGGCGCGGTATGGCCAGCGGGCCGCGCAGCCTCTACGACGCGCTGGGCGTCACGCCGCGGGCTTCCTCCAAGCAGATCAAGGCCGCCTACTTCAGGCTCTCCAAAAAGCACCATCCGGATCGGAGCAGCGGCGACTCGCTCAAGTTCCAGGAGATCAGCGCCGCGTACGAGGTGCTGGGCAGCCGACAGAAGCGGCGCATCTACGACAGTGGCCTGGCCGGCGGCGCCGCTGGCGACGAGCCGGCCAGGCGGCAGCCGCGCGCCGCGCACGCCGGCCGCGGCGCCCCCTTCACCGGGCGCACCGACCACTTCCACTACGACGCCTGGTCCCAGGTGAGCGGCGGCACGCCGGGCCCGTGCGCCCAGCGTCGGGGAGGGGGAGGGGGAGGGTGTCGGCTTTGCCTGCCGTCCGATGTTTCAGGAGGAACGTGGTGCGTGAGTGTCCGCCTCCAGTGAGAGGTCAATCGACCACGTTCCCATTTCATTGGCTCGTCAGGCGTCTTCGAACTGAGCGACCATGGTTGGGAGTCCTCCAGAAAGGGGTAGGATCCCGCAAGTTGGACAAAAGTTAACGTTGGACCCGCGGTGTATTCTAGAAATTGGGGATCCAGGAAGGCCCTGCGCTCCCCTCCGCTCAGCACAGACAACTTTGGCCCTGTCCCGACATTGAGCGCGCCCGGCGGTCTCCAGCTGGCCGGCCCCCTGACGCCGTGGGTGGGTCAGCCTCCTGTCAGGCGGTCCCCTGACGCCGTGGGTGGGTCAGTCTTCTGTCAGGCGGTCCCCTGACGCCGTGCGTGGGCCAGTCTCCTGTCAGGCGGTCCCCTGACGCCGTGCGTGGGTCAGCCTCTTGTCAGGCGGTCCCCTGACGCCGTGCGCGGGTCAGTCTCCTGTCAGGCGGTCCCCTGACGCCGTGGGTGGGTCAGCCTCTTGTCAGGCGGTCCCCTGAGTGCGAGTGGGTCAGCCTGTCAGGCGGTCCCTGACGGGGTGGGTCAGCCTCTTGTCAGGCGGTCCCCTGACGCCGTCCGTGGGTCAGCCTGTCAGGCGGTCCCTGACGCCGGGTGGGTCAGCCTCTGTCAGGCGGTCCCCTGACGCCGTGGGTGGGTCAGCCTCTGTCAGGCGGTCCCCTGACGCCGTGCTGTGGTCAGTCCTCCTGTCAGGCGGTCCCCTGACGCCGTGCGTGTGTCCGTCTCCTGCTGGGCGGTCCCCCGACGCCGTGTGTGGGTCCGTCTCCTGTCAGGCGGTCCCCTGACCCGCTGCGTATCCCGCAGGCTCACTATGCCGACTTGCGCTGGCGGGAGAGGAACGCGCGCGACGCGTATGCCAAGGCTGCCGAGAAGCGCCGGGACCGGCGCAACGAGCGCACCCGAGGCTTCGTCGGCTGCTTCCTGCTGTTGGCCTTCACTGGCTACCTGCTGCTGACGGAGCAGAGCCCGAGGGGCAACCGAACTGGCGCCGAGCGGCCGGCCCGGCCGCCCAGCTAGCGCTGCCCGGCCGGCTAGGGGCACAGCTGTTAGCCTGTTGCCCGGGCGGAGCGGAGCGCGACGGCGCCGGAGCACCCCCACGCTCACGCCACACGCCCGATCGAGTGAGTGAGGTAGCGCTTCAGTAATGCGGATGGGTAATGCCTAAACCGTGAAGCAGCCAGAAAGTAAAAAATTCAAAATAGAATATGGTATCGGTAAATTGGTGCGTCCTTATTTTCTGCTGTAGCCGGCTGCTGAGTTAGGCATTCAACGGAAGATGTTCGGATGTGCATTCTCAGGTCTTACAATTATTTTGGGCTAGCCGACGGGGAAAGAGCCATGCTTGTTACACTGGCGTGATTGGTCGATCTAGACGCGGGTGCCGTTTTATCAGGTTACTGATATTCGTTGGAACATCAGAGGCGTGGATGTAATTTGTGCAATATCGAAATATAGCCGCTCTCATGGAGCGTCAACATGGCCCTGTCGTTTTAGTTGTATTCTGTCACACTGCATATCTGTATTAGTTAACATACGACATTCTAACACCAGCGGAAGAGGACATCACGGGCAGTAAACGGAGTCCCCCATACATGGTTAAATGCCGTCCAGACCACCCGCATCGTGCCCGCCGATTTTCCATCGTAGCTGTGGTCACGTCCCGCCCTGGCGCGCTCCGGACTTATCCGCTGCACAGGACAGGCAATCACAGGTGCATCAGCCGGCCGGCCGGCGGGGCGGACTGTGCGCCGGGCGGCACCGGCGGCCCGCTCTCAGTACCGCGGCAGCGGCATGCCGCCCGGCATGTACGGGTAGGGCAGCGCCGGCCCGGCCGGCTGGTAGCCGCCGGCCGGCGGGTACGGCACGCCAGGGTAAGGGGTGGCGGCGCCGTACGGCGAGGGCGCGGCCGGCGCCGGCGGGTACGGCGTGGCGACGGGCGGCGGCCCGCTGCTGGCCGGCAGCTGGTACCCGCCCCCGCCGCCGCCGCCGCCCTGCGAGCGCACCAACTCCTTCAGCTTGTCGGTCTTCACCCGCCGTGCGATGGCTACGCGCCGCTTCGGCAGGTACAGCTCCAGGAAGTTGTCCAGCGACATCTCGCCGTTTAGCATGGACTGCACCAGATTCTGGAAGCCGGGATACATTCCACTCAGTTGTAGAGCAGTTTTATTGCCACCAAATATACATTATTAACCCTAGAGTTCTACCGAGCTCTTCCGTCAGTTCTCGAGGTAAACCAACCAACCCCCCCGCTCGTGCACCACACGGTGTTCCAAATATGGGATATATCTGTTATATCGGCATCTATATTATGGCAGCTGATTGTGGTGTGACACATAACGGCCCTTCGTCATTTTGCATCATCAATGCAATAGAGGAAAAAAACAAACACCAACCGGACACATCAGCACCGGCAGTACCGCTACCGGTGCTGATGCCTTCATACCGCTCGTTCTAAGTTTACCTCAGACTCTTCCTCGGCTTCTGCCGCTGCTGTCTGTAGCAATGCCAGTGTGGTGTCCAGTGGCTGATCCACCACTGCCGAACACAACACGCACGTCTCACCGTCACACAAACGCCCATCAAACGGAGTGGCGGTGCGGCTGCCCCGCCTCGCGCCACAGCCGGCAATAGGCCGAGCTAGAGGCGCAGGGTAAGCAGCCGGACGAGAGCCGAGGCTCGAAGGCCGCGTGCAGTCAACACCAACCTCACGTCCACAGATGGAAAGAATTGATTTAAAATGCGGTTTGGTCAACCCGGATCTTGGAACGCTCACGCGCCCCTGGCTTAGGCCAACGTACACATTTGTTGGGAACGCACGTGGGGCGTGCTGGCGGAAAGCAAACTAGTGCACCTGGTCACTAGTACTCGTTTTACGGTAGCTACATAAAACACCCCAACACCAGCTCGCGAAAGGCCAGCGGCCATCGGTCGCAGGTCCAGATCATGCCAACAGAACATGTATAGACTGAAGCCGACTCGACGCAAACCGGTGGGCCGCTACGGCGGGCGTTCGAAGCAGTGTCGCCATACCGCTCAGCTTGTCCCTCTTGTCCTTGATTTCCTGCTGGAGCGCATCTGTTTCCTCCAGCAGCTGGCGCACCTTGCTCTTCAGCTCCATTATGCGGGGCTGCTGGGCCAGGTTATATTCGGCTAGTGACTTGTTGCTGCCGACGGTAACGTCCCGGGTGCTACGAAGCGACTGGATCTAGAACGCAGGCCACCACTTCGTCAGGACTCAACAAGGCAGAATAAGCGCCGGCCACTGTCGCAAATATGATGGGAATCAGACAAGTACAGACAAATTATGAAAATATCCGTAGCTAAAAGTTGCTAAAAATGTTAGAGTTATGCGCATTTCAACTATTTTAATTATGTATGTACGGATGGAAGCAGAGCATAGACCATTCCAGTCAAAACCTAACTTCTGACTTTGGCTGGTTGCAACATTTCGGCTGCGCCCTGCCTCAAGAGCGCGTATCCGAATGTAGTCAACGGCAGTTTCTGAAGAGCGGAAGGTGGACCGTAACACGAACTGAATGCGCTTTCCCTCGACAGGGGTCAGCGTAAAATGGATCACACTTCGCAGGTTATGACGTCTGAGCTCTGATCACTGAAGTCCCTACGTGATGCAACGGGGCACATCATTAATACTATCGGAACAGCAGGGACAGACTTTGAGCACATAAGGCGGCAGCAATGCACAATCCTCGCGAGTTTCCCCGAGAGCTCAGTATTATTCATAGAAAATTGTGCCCTACTTTACATCCCCACACAGTTCAACGCTCGTGTTGAACATTGTAAGTCCGAACACTAAGATGATGTCAATAACATTGTTATCAAGGTAAAGAAGAACGAGACTTTGCCGCAGACCCGGATCCCAGGTGCGAAACAAGAGCAGCATTACACTAACCATAGCCATATAAGGGAAATGCCTGATCCACTTTCGCCAGTACTTTCCCCCGAGAACATGTCCGCCGGCAAATAATCGCAAAACATAACACTCCCATCGTTTTGTTGAAAGATTGCATTTTGGCAGCAACCTTCCACTTCGAACATCATACGTTGCGGATCTTGGCAAAACAAGTCATATCCAGCCTCAGCCGTGTCGAGTGGCGCCGTTATCCACGCCATCTTCCTCAACTGCGACCTCATCCATTATGAACATTTCATTTGACGAGCGTTTGGCAGACAAATGTGCTGAGAATAGGAAGATTCTCATTGCGCAGCTTTTCCGATACAAACGTTATCTGTTACTGTTATGGGCGCAAAATAACCACAGTAGTCGGCGCGCCATAAAACTCCAATCAACAACAACAGGCTTTTTTATTTATGGATGGTATACACAAACTTTCGATTGGTGACCTTTGCTAATGGGGACACTGGGATGTAAAAACTTGTTTATAAACCTGATCTTTGCCAATGTGGACATTAGGACACAGTTAGTTGCTCATGATTCTTTCCTGACATGAACATTTTACTCACAAATTTAAGTATGAATATTTTCTGTTAAATGCATTTTCAATACAAATCCGACCCCTTTCGAAATTTTCCATTGTCAATTTCACCTATTACCTTGTTACAAACCCCTTCCATTCATCTCAAGTTTGAGAACTTCAGTCATGGAAGCCATACAGGCATACACTAATGGTGTACCAGCCAATCAACAGGTCATGATCGAGTCCATGACTTCGTGAAAACATCCCAGTATAAGGAGTGACCAAGTGGGGAAAAGTGAGAAAAAAACATGTGTATCAGGAGGCCATCCCCCATAAGTAACAAGGCACAGAGTGAAGACAAATTCTCATTTTGCTCTGACATTATTCCCTGCAACATGAAATACTTCCCAACATGTCTATGAATACCAGGAATGCAACCATCATCACATGACAGGCCCAGGAACAAAGTTGGATGATGAACAGGAGCAGAACTCTTACAGCAGCCAAGTCCTGGACTTTGCTGTCCAGCTGTTCATCATTGTTCAGCAGCTGCTTCAGTTCATCTGTGCTGAGCAGGTGCAGACTGAAGGTGCCCAGTGCTGACTGGACAGCTGCCTCCACATCAGATGGTGCAGCATACATCTGGCAGTCAGCAGATGGTCATGTGAAAGGCATACCATATTGTCATGTTCATGTGACATACTTGTTCCATGTAGGCTGGGAATGTTGTGCAACCTTCCCAGCATCCAACCCATCATGTTACAAGGAAGAAGTAATTTAAAGGGAGATTTCCACACTTGCATGGAGCTCTGCACTGGGAAAAGTACCTTGAAAACCATTTAGTGCAGTTCCCAGTCCTGCCCTTCATGAGAACTAAACCCTTCATTTTCTGAGCTACATCCCAACAGAGATGTGCAACCTATTTTGATAGGACCATTTGTATTGTCTAGGGCAGCCTTTTCCACTTTCAAACCATGTGCTCTAGCAATTTGTCACACTAGCTTGAGTCTGACAAGCCTACCAGAGAAATGATGGTTCAGATTGCTGTAACTAGATCAGCCATTTCTATTTCTTTTCAACTTGTGCCCATTGGTCATTCCATGCAATGCATTCAGCACATGTTAACAGCATGATGGAAAGGATGCAGCCACCTACACCATACCAATCAAAGAGCTATACACCTCATGTTGGAATGCATCCAACACAGTGATAAAATTGTGCAGAGATTTCCACAATTTTCCTGGAGAAGAAATATCAAAACTTCCACTTCAAATGGCATGTAAAATGTTGTCATGTAAAGTTCTACACACTGATATATCCAGCTCAAATAATATTGGTCATAAGTTATAATGAAATTTGTATCCTGCAAAGTACATGGCAGAAGCCTGTGGGTTATCAAACTTTAACACCATGATTCCTAACCATGTTTGTAACCACTTACAGCCACATTCCCCAAAAACAAATCCTGGCACAAATGGATATCTTTAGTGGATTCATTAAATAACAAAGCTTTTAGCACATCCACCAGACATACCAAAATTTCAAAATGTTGGCACTTGGAAGGATCAGGCAAAGGTCATAGCAATGTATTTTTGACATCACCAGACATGACACAATAAACATACTAAACAATGTCACCCTAAACATTTTGCAACCTGGAAGCTAATGAGCTGCCTTGAACCTGATGCAAGCTGTTGAACAGTACCATCTCTGATTTGCTACAGCAAAACATGCTCTTTTTAATTCTGGCAAATATGTTTGCCTGTCAGGTATAAATATTGGCATTGACATCAGAACTGGTATTGGTATTGGTATTGGTATTCACATTGCTATTGTGATCAGTCAGGTTTGATTCTAAGATGGCCACATGAGATTGTGTTGGTGTATGTTTAGCCAAGATCCTTGTCAGTCATAGTCTGTGTGCACAAAAATTCACTGTGCGGCTGACAGAACTCTTTTCCGCCCTGATGACTCACTGGATCAGGTTGAATGTAACCTTGTGAATTCGTTACCACTGATCCATTCTGGATGCGTTCACTTGGTATCTGCACACCACAATTCTGTACGACATTCACCAGCTTCAGCAGACTTCAGACCTTACTTGAAATTTTGAACAATCTGCAAACTACCAAGCATTTATGTGAAACGTCCCTCCCAGCCAACCCCAGCCCGCCACCGCAGCCTATGGCCCTGGGACGCAACTAGTTTACGTCACGCAAATGCAGTCCCAAACCCAGCCCGCATGAGTGGGGCGAAACTGTCCGGTGATTCTTCATGTTCGCTTAACTTTAGCGTGACGTCACTGGTGCGAAGACTTCAATGCTCGGCAGGCCGAGGGGCGTGTGATGCAAAGCTGAGAGGTAACCGGAGCATCAAAATATTCGCGCAAGTAGTGAAAAAACCGTGTGTAGAAAGTATATATGACCAGCGAGCCGATCACGTATCATCTCAAGGCAAAAATGGCGATGTCCATTGCAAGACTATGCGGTCAACCTTTCAAATGCAATGGTATGAAAAGTGCAGGCGTATTCACGAGACTTATTCGCGATCCAGAGGAATGAGCATCGGGCTGCCTTTGTCCGAAAAACCAATAAATTGTTTGTGTTAGGTGTATGTTACCAGCAAGCTGAGTGCGTAAAATTTAAAGGGAGTGTTTCACGTTTGCGGGGGGGGGGGGGGGTTGAGGTGAAAAGGCCATTTTGAGCATCATTCGGTGCAGGTCACGGCCCTGTCCTTCTTAGACCTAAACCATGTAGTGTTTTAACTACATGCCCGTGAAGATATTCATAATATTTCGTGCAGGCTACATGACGCGCGGCGCATCTAACCGCCGCGGGGCACATGCTTTTTTCGATGTGGGAGTACAGTTTTTGTTGCTATATTTGGCCCAGGTACGCTTTCCGCACAGGTGCGCCAGGAAGATCCATAGTGGGCGACCCTTTAAAAACACCGACCCCGTCGGAGTATGGGCTTATGGGAGTATGTGCGAGCACGGCTTTTGTTTGCTGCATTTGGCCCAGGCGTTCGTTCTGGCCATGCGCGCCAGGACGATCCAGAATGGGCGGCCCCTTAAAACCACTGACCCCCGTCGGAGGATGGGCTCGTTCAAACAGTACATGGACATGTTCAGACAGTCCAGTAACAGCGAGAGTCGGCTATCGGAGTGATATTGACACGGACGCGGTGACAGAAGGTTATGTCGGCCTGGCGCGCCGACGGCCGGGTGCTTGGCGCCTTTAGCTTTGCGGAATGTAGGCCCGGCGGAGAAATCGCCGGTCTTTCGGCGCTTGTCTGAGATTCCCGGCCTTTTTCCTCTTATGAGACAAATAAGGAGACGCGCTCTGTAGGTCTTTTTGGGACTGCGTGTTCGCATATCAATTCTTATCTTTTATATGTTGTGCACTCTTTTCGTGCTTACATCGTATTATAGAAATTAGCGTACCTAATATTCAAATATGTCGCTAACGCGTGTTGTTCAATGGCGTGTTGACTCCGACCTGGTATTGCTCTATGCGCTTCAATGAACAGTTTAAAAAATAGCAGATTAATGCATCAAGCGCGGCCTGAAATTTGTGCTATGAGACAGTACGCGGCGTGGGCAGGCTCATGCCTTTGACTTTGATATCTCTATCTCGCAAAGCTCATATACTGCGCACAGCTTGGGGCGACCGATAATTTTCCACGAGTGTAATGGAATCGCTGTTGTCACCACGGGCTAAATGCGCCACAGATGCTTTGCGTTATGACTTGTCGCGGGGAGCGATGGAGTAAGTCCTACGCGACACGTAGGCAGTTGTCTAGCCGTAGGTTGAATGGTCTCGCTCGCTATAGAAATCAGGGAGTTGGCTGTTGGTCGACCTCTCTGCAACTCACAGATGAGGTGGGACGCATTTCTGCATGTCAATGGTCGCTACATGTCGCTACATTGGTCGCTACATTGTACATGTGAGCCGGTGAGGGATTCCGGCGTGCCGATGTGTGATTCGGCGGCAAAATATTGTGAGCCGATGGGTGATTCCGACGAGCCGACGAGGGATTCCGGCATTATTCAGTAACGAGCGATTCAGCAACGAGGATGGGGTGGAGTGAAACGGCTGCTATCTTTCAGTTTTTGCGTGATGGTTTACTTTGTAGGTGGCTACACAAGTGTTTGCACTGTTGGTCAACGAAGCAAACCAAAGCATGCCAAAAAAAACAAAGCACGCACACAATGACGCTCTTCGACGCGTCGTTGTTTGCGAACGTCATCGTGCCTTGGAAAACATCGATTGTGAGTCAACTGACGGGTGCTATGTCTGGAAATTGTGCCCACGAACGTCAGATATGAACGAATCGACAGTTGCATTTTTATTGGCCTTGATCTCCACACGGGCAATAAAATGGCAGGATTTGCGTGACGCTATTATGGCGTCACGGATGCCTGGATGACCTTGGAATAGTCTCCGCAAAGTAATTTGCATATCTTCGCGAGCGTGTAATTCAGAAGCTAGAGTGACTCATGTCTTAAAAGGGACATGGCTGTGAACTGCACCGAACATCTTCAAGCTGGCTATTTAGTTCTAACCCCCATACACATATGAAATAATCCCTTAAGTAACAGCTGTTTTCGTCTTCTAATAGCATCTTCATGCTTACTGTATTTACGGGATCGCAGGGTAAAAAACTGCGTTCATATTCAGGTTTCATCCCATTATAGAAATAGGCTTACGTGAGCAGCGACGTGGGTTGCCCGGGTACAAAGTCAAATGGAAAAGACGAACAAACGTAGTCGAACGATTAAAAGTCGGCAGGAATCAAGTGAAATGGGGATATCGTCGAACGAAGAAAAAGCGATGGGAGGAAAATTTCACTCGGCAAAGATCGGAAAAGAAAAAAGTGGACATGGATAGATGACCGGAAAACACTTCACTAATGTGAACCAAACACTCCATGGTAGACATAAGCAAGGGCCTGGTGTTTGTAAATTAACTCGCGGGAACCAGGGAGTTAGGACTTGGTATCCATGAATCGTCCATGGAAACCAGGGGCACGGTTCTGATGTTTGTGAAAAAGCACTGGAAACAAGGAACAAGTAGTGTTAGTAGCGAAAAGAGCCACCGAGAACTAGGAAACTAGGGTGCCATGTTTGCAAAGCAAACGATAAAATCCAGCAACCAGGGGTGGGGTTCATGCGATAACCAAAGCCACAGCCAAGAATATGAGATCTGCTTTTCATAAAAGGGAAGCGAAAACCAGAAATCCTCATTGGTAAGCAGACAACTGTCTTCCCAGCACCAGGACTTACTTAAAAGAAATCTTCTACCAACGCTGCCGCTATGTTCCGCCTCCTGCCCTGCTCACGACGATCTCAGAACATGGCATAGGGACATTTATATCCATAGATAAAGGCTAGCAGGGCGCACAAAGCAGATGAGATGATATTACCTTAAGGTGCGTTGCATATGACCTGGGTGTTAAAGTTCAAAGGCCAGTCTCCTTCAAGGGCGTTTGCCGGGTAAGCGCGAGCGAACCCAAATTAGACGGCCAAGGATGCGAGACAGCAAAGCCCATCGAATCCACGGTCGCATGCGCGTGCAGTCGGCAGTAGCTCCTTTCATGACAGACGTCAATTTGCTAAGACTCCCCTGTTTTAAATGCTCTTGATGCCCGCTTGTTTACCCTTATTCGAACAGACGTTTATCCATGTCGAACAAATGTCCACGACCTTGTCTTCTAAGCAACAAACAATTGCGTGCAAAGTAAAGCACATCGGTAAGTGCAACCCTAGGCTGACCTATTTCTTGAACGGCGCCGAAATCGCAGTCGAGCCCACCGAGAAGAACCTCGGGATCTTCGTGAATCATGGGCTCAAGTTCCACGTGCAGACGGTGGAGGCAATCTTGAAGGCCAACCAGATGCTGGCGGCCGTGAGCCCGTTAGTTGCTAACATCGATGTTTACACGATGCTGCAGCCCTTCAAGTTCCTAATGCTCCAGTATTTGGAGTATGGCAACGCCACCTGGAGCGATCTGCAAAGTGGGCCATGAGCGACTGGAGCGGGTTCAGCGACGAGCCAAGCGCCCTGTCCACGAAGTGAAGCACCAGCCATACCTTGAAAGACTCGGACTCCTCCGGTTGCTTTCGCTGTACTGTCGTCGCCGCAGGGGAGACATGGTTAAAGTTAGGTTGGACTAAGTTAGGTTAGGTTAGGTTAGGAACCAAACCTAACTTAGCCTGACCTAACATGGTTTCGGAAGACCATAATACATCACATCGGGCATTTGGGTTTTGCAGTTTTTCGGCCAGAACCTAAGCTAACCTCTAACCCTTTAGATTTTGTCACTGTATTTGGTGTTTTTTTTTGTCATTTTGTCATCATAATTATCCTTAAGTATCTTAGCCGATGCGTGGCTGTTCCCGTGTTGACTGATGCCTGAAGCTCACATGGGCTGCCCGATATCCCTCTGTCTCACGACGGTGCTTCCAGACAGAGCTTTGGGCGTATGTCCCGCCGTCTGCCCGCTTCCAGACAACGTTCTGGGCATATGTGTCCCGCCGTCTGCCCGCTTCCAGACAGAGCTCTGGGCCTATGTCCCGCCGTCTGCCCGCTTCCAGACAGCGTTCTGGGCGTGTGTGTCCCGCCGTCTGCCCGCTTCCAGACGGAGCTCAGGGTGTGTGTATCCCGCCATCTGTCCGCTTCCGGACAGCGTTCTGGGCGTATGTGTCCCGCCGTCTGCCCGCTACCAGACAGAGCTCTGGGCATGTGTGTCTCGCCGTCCGCCCGCTTCCAGACGGAGCTCAGGGCGTGTGTGTCCCGCCGTCTGCCCGCTTCCAGACAGAGCTCTGGGCATGTGTGTCTCGCCGTCCGCTCGCTTCCAGACGGAGCTCCGGGCGTGTGTGTCTCGCCGTCCGCCCACTTCCAGACAGAGCTCTGGGCACGTGTGTCTCGCCGTCCACCCGCTTCCAGACGGAGCTCCGGGCGTGTGTGTCTCGCCGTCCGCTCGCTTCCAGACAGAGCTTAGGGCGTGTGTGTCCCGCCGTCTGCCCGCTTCCAGACAGAGCTCTGGGCATGTGTCTCGCCGTCCGCCCGCTTCCAGACAGAGCTCTGGGTATGTGTGTCTCGCCGTCCGCCCACTTCCAGACGGAGCTCCGGGCGTGCGTGTCTTGCCGTCCGCCCGCTTCCAGACAGAGCTCAGGGCGTGTGTGTCCCGCCGTCCGCCCGCTTCCAGACAGAGCTCTGGGCATGTGTGTCCCGCCGTCCGCCCTCGGCCGTCTAAGTCCCTGGCATTTGTATCCCACTCGTCCGCTCTGTAGTGAAGAAGACGAACATTTGCGTTATGTGAGTTAGGTCTTTATTAATTAAGAAATGTTGGGAATTTTCGATTGCAAAACAAACAGTGATGCCTCAATATGGGCTGTTAGGAAGAGCCATTCAAGGGTTTTGGCCTAAACAGAAGACTTTTCTAGAACGACAAAATAAGATTTAACTTCCGTTTTACATCGTCGTTGTGGCGCTCAAGCCTACTTTACGAGAGGACAAGCCTATCGCCAAATATGAGATACTTGCTGATTTCCGTCGTACGTTTATTATCAAGTTATTCAACATACAAGTCAACGACAGAATGGATGCATCACTTGCAACTCACATGCTAGGAAAATAAAGCATGAACAACAACAGCCGTGGCTTCATTTCATGCTTAATACGACACAACAGCACACAATTTCATTTGCGTTCAAGAGAGGTAGAATCACAACAGAACTCCGGCGCTGTACATGTGTAGACTTCGGCAAGCTCTCTACGGTTTTCAAGTAAGATGCATTGGACGCGGCCGCTTCGTGTCTTGAAATCGCTTTTGTCTCCTGCGGTGAGCACGTACACAACTGGTGAGGCACGACTAAAGCACCAAACTGACTTCACCGTCCGCACAACATAGTCCTGTAATACCGACGCTAGATGGGGTTGCCGTCAGCATCCTTGTACAGATCCGCGTTGTTCGCGGCCAGGTCGGAGGAGCTTGCGCAGTCCACGTTATACCACCAGTCGCAAACCCTGCAGGAAAAGCAGTCCTCAGTCGTCAGTGAGGTATGGGAAGAACTTTGAGAGCTCTTGATGAGTGCTCCCTCGTCAGTGATTTTTGATGAAATTGCAAGCGTGCACGCTGTGTAACAAACATCCATCAGTTGGAGAAGAAAACTGAGAAAATGCGTCTTGCATCCTCGAGATGCCTCGGCTGTGAAAGCTCCTGGAGTGGATGATTGGCCAATATCAGCATCCTTTTTGCACAACGAAATAAAAGCGATATGAAATTACATGTTTTCTATAAGCACGTCAAGAACGGGAGATATCATCAAAACTCCAGCGAAGCTCAGTATTGCTGTGCACGTTATTGCGCACCTAGGTAGTAATGCCGTTCGATGTTCAGATGCCGATACAGCAAAAGCCTATCAGGAACACGCTTACCTGTATTGTTGGTTGAAGACAGTCTGGTTGGGGCAGAGAAAACTGTAGCGTGCTGCCTCCAAGGTGCAAAAATGCCATACCTACCGAAACATGGTTGAGATGAGCCGTAAGCTATATACGAAAGTGAGCCTACCAACACAGCTTCATTTGTTCTTAGAACGAGCTGACAACGCACCACAACGCTGACAACGCAAGTTTTCATCGAAAACAATACAGAACAGGGGATATTTTCACTCGCAGACTTCTACTTTCCACGCAAAGTCCGTGACTCTATTGTATCCCTGCAGCGTGTTGGAATTTCTAGCGCATGGTGAAGGCTTCAGCCTCCGTTCACTTCTGCCTCAAGGACACAATCTTACATTGACTTGACGGTGTAAACATCAAGAATGACGCCGCTGATATATCCATGCACAATCACGAAATAATCTTAAATGGCCAAGCAGCAACACGTTTAATTCCTCACAGTTTTTCAAACACAGACGCACAGCCCGACATTGGCAGGCGATGGCTGCCTGCCGCCCGTCGATCGGCGCCGCGTGTCCTGCCGTCGCGGCCGTTGGCGTCGCGCGGCACCGTGACCTCTGCTGACCTGTGGCCACTCACCTGGCACTGGAAGTCGACGTCGGCGTAGTAGCCGGGCAGTTGGCCCTCGCAGGTGAACGCAATGTTGTCCGGCACGCTGGCGTACGTCGGGTATGAGTCCGAGCCCACCTGCCGTTTCGCCTGCAACACCACAGTACTGCGAGCTGGCAGCCAACGGGATAGCACCGAGCGCGGTCGGGAGGAGCAGTGACGTCGAATGCAAACAAACTGATGTGAACGAGCTGCACTACGTCATGTCCAGTGGCGAAAAATGCGATGGCGTGGTTTGGTACAGAGGACAAGTGACGAGTGATCCAATAATAAACGCGGTAGCACACAACGTTTTAAAAATGGTTGGTGAAAGTACTTTATACCGTTTTGGAGCCAACAAGAGTCATATGCTGATGTTTGATTCGACTCATTTTTAGGCAAACCTACCTTCATACTGTGTATGCACTTAGAGAGCAAGGACTGATCCAACAATGAACATGTATGATGGACGAGTTTCAGAGACTCAGCCTACAGCCAGACATTTACCCCAGGACAAAAGAAAGAGGGAGAAAAGCTCTGCTCTGTATCATAGTCAGGTGCGTCGCAGCTTCACAACGATCTGGTACGACGTATCAGCCCCCGAATCCGGAGCAACAGCCCCCGAGTCCGCCAGCTCGTACGGAGCACCAGCCCTCGAGTCCGCCAGCTCGCACGGAGCACCACCAGCAACAAAACACCAGCTACAGGACTGAAGCCTGTCGACGGTTTCAGACAAACGCGTTGTGGATCCCTTCGCACATTCCTGTGGTGTGAACGGCGATCGGTTTTGCACTCAAGAGGGCAGAGATGTGGATGGCATTAGCACATGTTTCGACGAGGGTTTTCGGGCCATCCTTGAGATCCACTCCGCTATAACGATCCTCAGTCTGTAGCGCTTTATCGTAATCGCTATGGTGTGTAAGTGTCGTTGCGATTACCACGTTTGTAATCAGCGGAGCCGATCGCATCACACCGCACCAGATCCTCGGTCCCATCCCAGCCCCGAGGCCGCATCCCTCCTCCGTTTCACCACAGCGCGGGCTAATTTCCCAACGCTGGCGCGGCGGCGCGGCGCTGCGCCGGGTTTGTCTGACCCGGCAGAGGTCAGAGGTCACCGAGAGGGTGCGCGTCGGCGCCGCCGGCTCCGCCCACTCACACCACTGACGCAACGACCGGGAGCGCCGCCGCGCCGTGCCGACCAACCGACCGCGCCCCTCGCCGTCACGGACGGCTCCGTGACGGTCTGGGTGACGGATGTGGCAGGGTGCGTCACGCCGCTCCTGCTCCCGGCACGTCGGTGACGGTATATCGATCGTAGTCCGCAGCCGGCGAGCCGCCGTGCATGACGGTCTGCCTGGAGGGTGGCGAGCCTCGGCCTCGCCATGATGCTATGCGTCTCCAGGGATCATTCGCGACGTTTCTCAGACGGGTCCGCTTTCTGAATGAACTCAGACCCGTCTACGTGGCGCTGGCGTAAAAACTACGGACGACATGTGGTCGCTACGTTTGCAAAACACAGCGGTATGCCTGGTGATTCTGTTCTGCGGGTTGGTTTGTGCGGCCAACCATAGCCCTTCTTTCGCACTTTCGCTTTCTGCGCCCTTGAGCCGCGTCGCTCGGACGGCCGCCCTTCCGTGCGCGCGTCTGCGCCGGCTCGTTCCGGCACCGCAGGTGACCTCCACACGGACGCAGGGTCGGCGTCGCCTGTGACCCTCGCCGGATCGGGGGTCAGCGCCCCCACGCCGCCGACCCGCGGTGAAAGGTGGACGGCGCACAGGTCACGCCCGCCGGCGCGATTGCTCCAGTCGAGTGCGCGGACGATGGAAGGGCAGCGCGTTCCCGGGTCACGTTGAGGTCAGCCGAGGGTCAGCTGAGGGTGAGCGGCAGGCGTCTGATAGCCAAACGATACGTCAGCGCTCTGAAAGCACCGCTCTGACCGTGACATCTTCGGCAATTGGCTTCGCTTCAAGTCTTTGACTTCTGGTCTGAGAGATCATCCGATATGTTTCAATTTGTTTGAAGGGTCTTGTTTCGTGGGCAAAACAAGTCCTTTTCTCCGCTTGACTACGTAATTATGAGCCACAAATCCAAAGTGAGCGGTCAAATCCAAGTTTTCCGAGTGGCCTCACCAGCACGGCGGCGGGCGGGCTGCCCCGCCCCTCTCACCATTCGTGCACCCCAGGCCGGTGCTGACCGTGGGCGGTCAGACCCCCCGCCACACACACACACACACACACAGTCCCTTCCGCCGCAATGCCGAGGCACTCTGCGTGCGCTAACGTAACTAACGCGCGCCGGCCCGGGCCCGACACGCGCCCCACCCACGCGCCTCTGCCGCCGGCCCGGTCCCGTCACGGCTGTGACGAGTGCGTACCGCGCGCCCGTGCTGGGAGCGAGCGTTTTGTCGAGATGGCAGCGCCTAGGTCGTAAAGGCACGACCGTGAGCGCCTGCAGCAGGGCGTGCGCACATTCCCATGGGGTCATCTGACGGCTTTCAGATGGGGCGACGCGGCGATCGGTTTGATTGGCGCCTGTCCTGTTCGGTTGAGGCATCCCGGTTACGTTCTCTTCCGTGATGGCCGCCCAGCTGGCGTTTCGTCACGGGTCAGTGCTCGGGACAAATGACAGCCTTGAAGCCCTCGGAGAAGTCGCATGTTGTGATGGAGTAATAATTGCTCGGCCCTGGGCGAGACGCTGCCTCGGAAGATGGCAATGGTGGAACAAGTCGCCACGCACAAACATCAACATCATCAGGTGATTTGAATATTTTCGGGACCTCAAATATGCTTGTGTTTGCTGGCCTAGCCTAATTTAGATGCGTGGATTCCATTTAATTATGCGGCCCCTACCGGTAAAATTGTCACTCACTTTCGAACTAACGATTTCAAACGAAACAATTCTCATTTACATTTGTGAAAGCATGTACGGCTTATCCGCGCTAAAGCTGTCTGCAGACTCAGTACTAACTGAACTTCCCGTTTCGACCTTCATTGGCATGATGCTGCTACGATCGTATATCGGTTCCAACAGAGCCGGCGGACGGATCAGGGCATGCCCACTGTAGTCTCGGAACGCCGAAGTCCACTGGGCCCGCATACGTGTTTTGTGTTTAGCATATGTTCAGGGTTTATCACATGTTTAACAAGTATATCTCCCTGAAAAGCATCTAGCGTTCATAGGTCTGCAAAATGAACAGTATCTATAGCTGCAATATCTGCATTTTCCACATATCTAAATCATTAATATCTGCAATATCTGCCGCAAAAATAGAAATCTGTTACGCCAAAAATCAAATATCTCTGCACAATGGTTATGCGTCTTACGCTTGCGGAAACACAATTGGAGTGAGGAGACCCACTGAAGGCCACAGAGCTTCGGAGAGAGAGAGAAGGCCGTCGCCGGATGGCCAGGGATGACGCAAGCGACGCGCAGCACAGCCCGGCCGTGCGTGCTTTGTGTGCACTCTGCCGTGGTGTATACTGCTCTCCTCGGGTCTTCGTGACCGCTCACAGGGCGTCATGGGAAACCGAGGACGAACGCAGAACAATTGTTAGGTTGCGTGAGGCCGTTAGCCGGGCGTAATTTGTGAATTTTTACGGATGAGGTGCGGTGTTATTCTGAAGGCCTTTCTTCATTGTCCGTTGCATAACGTTCTCCGACAAACAATGGTAATAGCAGGAATGCTATGTGTCTCATGCAGTGAAGATCGGTGCAGGCGACAGTGAGAACAAACGTTGGCGGATGCAGCCGTCTCTGGCTGACACACGACGTTGAGAAATCGGGCACTAAATTGGATTAGATGAGCCAAACGTTTCTCATTTGGCCCAGTTTTGTGAAGCCGACATGTAACAACATCAAGCTCTTATTTTTTCTGCAAATTGGCCATGGCCGCGGTGATTTTGAACTGGCAATATTGGGATGCTACCTCCAGTAAGCACGGTGGCCACGTTGTTGTGCCCGCGACGCTACAAGCACTCTTTTAAGGTCGCAAACCTATCGACAGCAGTAGGTTCGGCCCCGTCTTTGCAGGTGCAACATAAACACTTTGATGTGACACACGTAAACCACATGTTGCCCACAAGAGATGAGTAAATGGCTCTGTGATACAGGGCTTAGGCCACGGCTCGCCAACTGCGGCTCGACTCTGCCTGAGTCGGCGAAAATGGGTCCAAATGAGGCTCACAAAAAGAGCACCGTTTGTTCACCAGCAAGGGTGAGCTATTAGACGGCCACTTACCACATCGGACCGGGCAGACAGCGCACTGGGCCATCAGGTGAGACAACGCATCCACCGAAGCATGCTCTTTTACGTGATCCTGGTGGTTGGGTAACGATGGCGTGGGTCACACTTTCGTTCGTACGCCAAAAACTCCGCAGGGATCAAAGAGTTGTCACATACTTTGATAAAAAGCTTAAGACATGCGGAAGCAATGCATGCGTTTGACATCATCCAGTTGGACTTGGTACATTATTCCGCATCAGAGCGTCCCTTCTTGCGACTCTGGCAGACCATCACGACCCGCAGGCCGTATGTGAAGCTCGGGAAGAAGGTCCGCTCAGCTCCACAAGCCTACTCTCTAGCTTGGCCGCAAACCTAATGCATACGGCAGAAGAAACATGTTCTGATATCCAAAAAGGCATTATTGTGTTGAAAAAGGAATCAATGTGTTGCTCAACACTGAAATATACCGCTGAGTCACACTATTTGGCTTTGTTACCAACACAGCTTCAATTTAAGGTCGTAAAACATGTTTTCCTGAATGCGTAGGCAACATTGGCATTAGACCAGCCAGCAATCCGTCAGTTAGATTGAGGACAGTAAACAATGACATGATTACAATCCGAATCATTTGAAAGTACAGCAATCGCTAATACATATCATGCATTCATGTAGCGTACCCACCATTATACATAGGATTGACATCGCCGTTGTATTTGAGGATATGGCTAGCACACATGTGCATGAAAGGCAATTTAAAGCGGATTTCTTGAAATGCATAAAATCATGTCGCAAGCCAGTCAAAATTGAGCATGTTAAACGTCCCGGATCTGTAGCAAAGTCATATCCGTTATGCTACGCATCATTCCCGTCAGCCCGTGTTAGCTGCGGACCTATCAGCATGCCCCGGATGAGACTGTCTAATCGCCTGTGAACTGAATGGCTATTTCGCCGCTGATCGAATGTACCGTGCATTCCTCGGACGATGATTCCGAAAAACCTTAGCGCTTGGCCCGCTACGTGAGTGCATCCCGGCCGAGCCAGAGCCCAGGAATGAGAGCAATACTCAAACGCACAGGGAATGGCCCTGCTGCGGGAGTAAGACTCTATGGCACGGGGACTAGCCCTGCAGCGAGAGTAATGCTCTATGGCGCGGGGACTAGGCCTGTAGAGGGAGTAAGACTCCATGACACTGAGACGAGCCCTGCTGCGCGGTAACACTGTATGACACGGGGACGAGCCCTGCTGGGAGAGTAATGCACCAGGGCACGGAGACCAGGGGCTGTAAGGCACTCCGTCACGGCAGCTTAATAACCCAGAAATAAAGCCAGTGACTAGCCAGCCTGAGGGCCTGAACAAAGCCCAATTGGTCTTTTCGGAGTAACCAGGGCTCTTCCAAGCCCGACCAACGTAACCTTTACGCCAGAAATGTGCTGACTGTCACAGTAAACGGCACATTTAAGCTGGCACAGGCACATTGTTAATGACATGCCGACACATGGTCCTTTGGATCAGATGCTATACATAGCAGCAGTCGGAAACAAATCTGAGGTAACTCTTAGAATATTATTAGCTGGCACTCATCAGTGACGCCACAGCACAGTACATTGTCATGACTTTAGAGCGGTTTGTTTTGCAGAATAAGCGTAGTGAACGCATCATCATCTGCAGCCAAAATTTGACGACAGTACGACTAGACTTTTGGCCGGGCTCCAAAAGAACGCCTGGACGAGGACGACAGTTATGTGCCCGACTTTCTCCATGCAAAGCTGTTAGTAAAGTGGTCAAAAATGCGATCATCTTGGACTGAAACAGCGCCATCAGATAAGCAGAGACCGTTATTATGTGTATTCATGCGCGGATATGCGTAACTGGCGGACTGCATGGTGCAGGCAGTAAGCCTGCTCACGAAAGGATGAGCTCGGTTTCATAGCTGCATTTGTGTCACATCCCTGGGGCTGATCTGCTGCCTATTTAGTTGCCACACCGTGTACTCACCACATGGGCTGACACGGCGACGATGGCCAGACCGAGCAGGAGAGCAGCGCGTACCCGTGACATCTGAGGGACAAACCCGGGTCAGATCATCTGGGAGGCAGGCGACAGACATATGACGGATGGACCCGGGTCAGGTCAGCTGGGAGGCAGGCGACAGATATCTGACGGATGGACCCTGGTCAGATCATCTGGGAGGCAGGCGACAGATATCTGACGGACAGACCTAGATCAATCAGCATGGGGCAGCACAGGTCAGGCTGTGGCGAAACATCAGATGGTGTAGTAAGCGTTTGCTATTGCAGTAATCAGTGAGCATCATTAATGAATGTCATGGTGCAACTTAGGTCCAGGTGACTGTAGCCAGCAAAGGTCAACGCAGGTCACGGGTCAGGATGAAATCGGTGGTCAGCTGACTGCCAGCGAAAGGTTTAGGGAAAAATGAACATTTCAAGCCGGTTTTTCAGAATTGCATGCACTATGAACACACATCAGGACCAAGGTTGAAAAAAATGTGGCATGTGCTCTTACTGATGTAAGTTGCGCGTTACAGGGAGCTTAATCAAGGTCTCCGAAAGAAAAATTTGTGTATTTGTCTTATGCTTCAGCATGCCGACATAATGTGAGCTTATGTCTGGGAGTCCACGGTCGATTCAGACGTTACAGACCCAGAAAGAAGACGGACGAATAGATCGGGAACTGATCGGGAACTGATCGGGAACTGATCGGGAACCAATGGATACCGATTGGAGTTGTATCGGATTGGAAATGGGCCAGACCGAATGGATTGGAGTGGGTTGAAGAGCCCTATACCAAGGTAAAGGAAAAATGCTACGACACAAACACAAATTGTTTTGTGATACTGCATGCTAAACTGCGCTCGAGTTCTATCCATTCCTCTAAATCACTCTGCAGAAATGTTCTTCTTTTGACGGGTGGCAGTGATTGGGCTTTGACTTCGCGCAAATGGCAGGTTGGTGTCTAAAATGGATTTTAAATGGTTCGGGTGTCTGGGAGATCGATAAGAATAAAAAACACAGCCCATAGATACCTATGTCATCCGTTTACGTTCCACCTTAAATACATTTCAGCCAATGTGTTAAACGTCTCGTGTGCAGCGTCGGTTACTTTTTTGTCCAATATAGGTGCTGAAATCCTTCGATAAACCATTTCATGTCCGCTAGCAATTCTCTTACCGCATATTCTTACAATGCCTTGCATGTTCGGCCTGAACCCAGAATCTTACCTTAGGCGTCTGGGAGAGATGAGGTGCTCCCTGCCGACGTCTCTTCCCGTCTACTGGTGCCCGCCATGCCTTTCCCTTTATACCGACGCACGGCGGTCACGTGACTGGCGCATCCGACGGCTTCCACCACGTGCCGCGAGCGTCTAGCAGGCCGGCAGGCGTCGCGTCACCGACGCGCTGGCCGCGGAGTCGACCGGCGGCAGGACCACACGAGTCAGCCCGTCGTGTCGAGTCGATCCAGCAAATGATCCGTCGACATTTGATATGCATGCGGTGCGAGTTCTCGTGAAAATGGGTAACAACCTTAAATTTGGATAATTTTAGGACTTGATCAGGGTTTATTTTTGTCTTTCGCTGTTTTTCAAGCAATTTTGCATGCGAACAAGAGATCTTATTATTAGTTGCATTGTTTAGATCAATGCAGTTGCAAATCCAAAGAGCCATTTTAAGCCCACCAAAAACTTTGAACAGCGAAAATGTTAATATTGTGCGCCTTTCATGTACCCCACGGCACCTTAATACTGCATCCCTCAGCATTGTCATAATGGTTGAGCATTCCTGTCTTTATGCGCTTTGAATGCTTGGATTTTCTCTTTTTAACAGGTTTTCGTGTCTTATATCGCAACTTGGCGGTCAGAGGCACAATCAGACTCCCATGCGCCGAATACCTTACCGTTTACAATTCATGTGGCCGAACGAGCTTGCACGCCGCACTGCTGTGATAGAAATCGCCGTGCGAGCCGAGTATGTACCGATTCATTATCTGCATTTACTACCCATTTATGCAACATTCTGCACACGATCCCGTCCAAATGTCAATTTTTTCTAAAGAGTTGCAATCACAAATTTTTGCGTCGCCAACACACCACCTGGATCGCTCAGTCCCCACCGGTAAATGTTTTAAGTAAAGGAACCGAACACACACGTGCCGCATGTTGCCGTCGGTCAATAGGATTTATTCAGCTTCAGTTCGTAACTGCGAAAAAACATAAGCAACAGTAACGATCGAACACATTGCTCGAGGCCATTGCTTTGAGAAATGTCAAAGAAAGTACATAAGTCGAGGTACCAGCTGATTCGAGAAATTTTCATCAAATTGAATGCTATCAAATTAATAGTTTTCCAATACCTCAGTTTCTTGTTAATAGGTGCATCAAGAAATGTTTGCAGCTACCTTAACACGCGCTCGGGTGGGGGGGGGGGGGGGTCCGTTTTTCAGAATAGTTCTTGAACGGCGCGGAGTAGCCACGCCAAATTTTGCATAGCTGTACACAATTAAATAGCGGATTGTTTGGCACAAGAAATTAAATATACCTTGTAAGGCCGCTGACCTAATGCAGGTCAAAGTCAGGCCACGGTTTCAGCGAAGGTAATTTCCAGAGAATCGTTCAATCTGATACAACAACGGAGTGTTTGACGAAGTCATGCATCTCTGAGATGCTTTTTCAGGTACCACAAATATTAAATGATCAAATTAGGTTGACCTTAGGTCATGTATAAAGGTCAGACCAGGGTCAAAACCAACCTGGTTTATTACTCCAGGGCTTGCTGTATGAGATGGTTTCTGGTGGTCATTTCAAATTTATTGACAGGAGGAACCGCATTATACATCTTCCATTGACTTTTTACAGAACAGAACAGATCATTGACCTAAGATGACCTGGGTCGACATTTTGTTTTAGGAACATACTGCCTAGCGTAATCTTTTTCGCTTATTCAAATGCAAAACTCAGAGCAATCCTGCACGATTTTGGTCCCCATGGCCTTTAAAAGGTCAAACAAAGTCACTGACGTCAAATGGGCTTGTGATCTTTTGCTTAAAAACAGTTGCTTGGTTCTGGGGGCACTTTGGAGACCAACCTGGAATATGATCTTGTTTGACCTTATTTGACCTGAAGGTCATGGCCTATGAAGCACCAACTTTGACCTAAGCGATTTCACGTACAGATCAAAACACTGTAAATTTAGTGTTTCTAGCTTTCTTAGTTCTCAAGATCTCAGGGGGTCAAATTGACCCCCACCCGAGCGAAAGGTATCTAGCCGGCCACCCGGGCGCGTGTCAAGGCTTAAAAACTATTTTAGGATAACACGAGGGAAGAGCAGATTCTCCCCACACTCTCCTTTCTTCAGTGCCTTTATAAATAGCGGAGGGTATAAGCGGCTGCCAATAACAGCGTACATACAAGAAGCATACTTTTGTCACAAATAAAAGTGCACGTGTAGAGACATCACCAGAAAATGAGAGCGGCAAAGCTTCAACGGGCATTATGTTGAGCATAACTCTCGAGCTATAAGTTATCACTTTTCGCGTTTTATGCCTGCTGGTATCAGGTATATCATCAGAGGTGATATTCCCGAGGAGTTTGTAGTTACCAGGATGGGCATTAACATGAAATATTGGTGGGACAGGCCTGTTAATATCAAGTCTTATGATTATGTCAGCTGCTATGCGACGACGCCTGTCCACCATTTCAACACGCACTGTGGAAACGTAAAACGCACGAGAAGTGAGATCAGGAAACATGCCACAAGGATAGCATGCATTCTCTTTTATCAGGCAAATTGGATACACTAACAAGAGCTGGTTGGCCATGTGGTCTTGGCCTCTAATCGAAGTGATATCCTTATTTAGTATCCCTGCATCAGTCAATGACAAAAATGACTAACAGTAAACTTCCTGCAATTGTTTCCGTGCTTAAAGCTATGAGGAATCAAAATCATGGCAAATCGCTGTTTGCTTGATAGGACCGAACATTGATCCCCCTTACACCTTGTTGAAGCGTGTCATTCACGTTTTGGAATTAGGTGACTTTAGTAAATACCTTTTCCGCAATATCTTGGCAAGGTAGACATAACTGATCAAGAAAACCGAACCAAAGGCAGAATTTACCCAAAAACGCATATTCCTGCGATCGCCACTGACACGAAAACCTGCATACGGACAGCTGATCCCTTCATGCGGGAATCATATGAGATGTGGGCTATATGGCTATTCATACTGCTCATATGGATGCCTGACCATCTTTGATCCAAGGCGTTTTTTTGACGGTATGTTAAAAATATGTGGGGTTGCATTTTTGTCGGACTGTTTACCCCTCTCAGTACAACACCTCTAGAGTTTCCAATGTGTTTTAGATCGGAAAAGAATTCACAGCTCAACGTTGGTTTGAGCCCTCAAATAACAAAATCAACCTGCTGGATTGCGGGCTCTCCTAGAGATTGCCCCAGCACAAGTATGGTTCCATCACATTTCGAATACAAATAAGTGACAATAAAAAGTTTAGATAGGACTGCTTTTAAAGGAATGATCGGACTCTTACGTTAGAAAACCCAAATGCTATATTTCGGTAGTATTCTGACTTCGATGTCATTTAACTTGGTACGCAATACTCATTTCAACAAGTGAATGTTGGTTGGCGGAGGAAACTCCTACACCCTGCGAACCATCACCAGACCGACACTGCAGCTTATCCATGATGCTTAAAACACCCAGCGGAGCCTCTCAGATTTCCTTTCGCGTGCGCTCAAGCAACTTGCAACACTATCTCCCTGGAGTCGTCCAAGGTGGCAGTATCCCACTTGTGGTAGCTTGTGACCGCTTCATCGCTACGTTTCCGTGTCACCCGAGCAGTTGACCCTGGCGGGGCCATTCCAGCCCGACTCCAAGCACCGGCTCCTGGCCGCGTCCGAGTGACCCGGCGGCCGGGAGCGGCGCCTCGCTCGGCTGCAGCGGGCGGGCGGCGGCCGTCGGGGCCGGCCGACAGGCAGCGCGCCGGTGGATGGCGGCATTTAGCGACGCACGGGTCACCGAGGGCCACGCTCCCGTCACGAGCGGACGCCGGCGAAATGGCCCCCCAACCTCCGCACGGCGCGCGGCCTTGGCGAAACGCATGGCGAGCCGTGAGGCAATCGGCCGGCCGGCCAGGGAGTGCAGCCCGACGTTTAGTACCGGTGCGACGACGGCAGGATGACACGAGCTTTGATTTATCCGGCTACCCACCCGCATTGTGATGTCGTCGATAGCCATGGATGGGTAAGACTGTCACGAATCGACTGTCCTGTTACCAGGAGCTCACAGGCTAAAACGGCTGCCGCTTTGGGGTTGTTCGCTGCTTGTAGCTGGTAGGATGTGGGGGAGGGGGGGAGGGGGGGGGGGGACGCGCAGGCGACATTCTTTCCGCTAGCTGCATGCGTTACAGGTCATGCAATCAAGCCACAACTGCTTAAAACAAAGTGTACGATAAATGGATGATAACAAGACATAAGAAAAACATAAAAAAGGCATAAAAAAGACATAAGAAAAACACAAACGGCATAAAGCTTCATTTGTAATGTTTATAGCTTAGCAAGGCAAATTCAATTCATCGTCTGCTGCCAGCTAATCAGCTCGGCTAAATACATGGTACTGTGCTGGTTTGTGCACTACTGTACGATTGAATTGTGCTTGTCTTCCTCGTCCATTGTCTTCTTTATCTTTATTACTATTCTTTTAGATTCACGAAAAGCCTTGCAAGTATTCGAAGATGCAATCGCAATAAACTGACCTGAACTGAACAGCTAGCTAACTTTCCATAGTTTTGGTGAACATGCCCCTTACTTCAAAGACAGCTAGCAGCATATCTGACAGAAATTCGCATTGTGCCGCCTTGGATTGCGTTGCTACAGGGTTACCTATGCACAACAGGCCGGGCCGTGGAGAGGCTACAGATCACCCGTGTCGGGACAAAAGCCGAGGCCCTGACTCCTAGCCTGTAATTCGCGTCATTACCGAAAACAACACCGAGTGGCGGGCCACGCAACGGGACAGAGCCGCCTGCCAGCAGGGCCGCTCGCTTCCTGCTCCGGCGACCCTTTTTGCTGCCGGCGCATCCACACTGATGGTGGCAGCAGTCCAATGCGACAGTTCTGGCGCCGCCGCTGAGCCCGGGGGGGCGCTGCCACGGCGCGTGAGGCTGACTGGCGGTCGGCTGATGGCACCGCTTTCGACCGTGGGCGGGAGGACGCCGCTCTGGCCCTGCAGTCGCCGATGCGCCCACGTTACCGGCGT